CCAGAAGCTGTCCAAAACCTCTGCGGATATCGATGTTCATTTTGAAGATGACCTGGATAAAATAAAAAGGTAGTGTGTGGAACAGTGCCCAATCAAATACCACCAAAAAACTATAACAGACTTTCTGAAGCCTGCAGAGAAAACCCAGATATAGGATACTCTATGCATACTGCATATGCTGCATACACATAAACATTGTATGTACCAAGTATATTATGTAAGTTGTTTCTTTTGTTGTTCTTTTTTATTTGTGTTTTAAAATAAACTTATATTCTCATGTTATTTCCTTACATTGTGATTATATTATCCATATTGTCTTTTAAAATAAAATACTTTATGTACATACATATACATAATTGTTGTTCCTTAAAATTATAAAATATTTTCATTAATATTGTTTTCAAATAAATTTATTCATTATTCCTCAGAAATGTAGTTTTCTTACTCATCAGTAGTACATAAGTACAACCCCCGGATACCACGAATTCAATTCGTCTAATACGAATTCGGTTTATACGAATTATTTTAAGACGAAAAGGGTATTTCGTTCTCCCGTTGAGTTCGTCTTAACGAGGGATTACTGTATATTATCATAATTTAAGAAAGAGAAGCTAACTGGAATAATAAAAAATAATTACATAATGTTTCTTTGTTTTTATGTACAGTGTGTGTATGAGTTATATTCTCGGAATTGCGCTATTCCAGTCCAAACAATTCCGAGGGTTAGTCTTAAGTAATCAGTTGTGTGCCTAATAGAAAGAGAAAAATAGTCATAACATTTGAAGGAGAGATATTATTGGTGGAGGAACAGGTAATCATGAAATGGTGTTGAATGCCATGATTATTTAATTGATTAATTTACGTCGAGGAGTTCGCAAGACTTTAAGGACCTAGATTTCGCTAATTTTATGAGAATAGATGGGGGGACAAGTGATTAAATGGTTCAGAAAATCGATGACCTATACTTTTTTCTATTGGACTAAACAAGTTGGGATCTAAATGTCGGAAAGGATCTATTATTCTATTTATTTTTAGGGGTTCTATATATATATATATATATATATATATATATATATATATATATATATTTATAGTGTAGAAACTATATAACAAAATTATAATAGTGATTCTACTTTTAAAACTTAAGGAGCAAACTGATAATAATGATAACTTATATCAATTAGATTTGATTAGATTAGCAAGCTAAATCTAAATTAATTATAATAATAAATAGTTATTTAATTTTATAGTCCAGTTTTGTATTAAGATTATCTTCACTATTATGATCATTTAAATTCAAATTATAAAATTTGTAAAATGTTATTAATTTGTAGATAGAGAGAGAAAAAAAAATCCTTTACTTCTAATACATCATCAAGTTAATTATATATTTATAATTAATAACAATAAAAATTAACAACGTAACGTCTTTTGCATCGGCTTTTACACGTCATTTAGACATACTCTAATCCTATATATAGAATAATCGAAGTGAGAATATATATAATAGTTAGAAAAAAGAGAGAAAGACAGAACCATGCACTTTTAATCAAACTAATAATAAGGAAAAAAAAAAGTTTTGTAAAGAAGGTAGATAAGATTGTTAGTATATATATATATATATTTATAATTTTATATTTTATCCTTTTTTTTTTTTTTTTAAGATTTTTAAAGGTTTTTTTTATTTTATAATATGATTATAAATAGTTGTATTTAGTAATATATCTATAGTATGAATTAACATTTGTTATAAGTTTGGATATTATGTTTTGAAACCCTAATGGTAGACCAGACATACACAAAAAACTTTAAATTGAAATAAATTGGAAAAAGAGATCTGCTGGACCGGGGATCTTCAAGGGGTAAAATGTCGCTGGGCTTTTATCTGAAGATCCCCGGTCCAGCAGATCTCTTTTTCCAATTTATTTCAATTTAAAGTTTTTTGTGTATGTCTGGTCTACCATTAGGGTTTCAAAACATAATATCCAAACTTATAACAAATGTTAATTCATACTATAGATATATTACTAGATACAACTATTTATAATCATATTATAAAATAAAAATAACCTTTAAAAATCTTTTAAAAAAAAAAGGATAAAATATAAAATTATAAAAATATATATATATATATACTAACAATCTTATCTACCTTCTTTACAAAACTTTTTTTTTCCTTATTATTAGTTTGATTAAAAGTGCATGGTTCTGTCTTTCTCTCTTTTTTCTAACTATTATATATATTCTCACTTCGATTATTCTATATATAGGATTAGAGTATGTCTAAATGACGTGTAAAAGCCGATGCAAAAGATGTTACGTTGTTAATTTTTATTGTTATTAATTATAAATATATAATTAACTTGATGATGTATTAGAAGTAAAGGATTTTTTTTTCTCTCTCTATCTACAAATTAATAACATTTTACAAATTTTATAATTTGAATTTAAATGATCATAATAGTGAAGATAATCTTAATACAAAACTGGACTATAAAATTAAATAACTATTTATTATTATATATATAAATATATATATTATTTAAAAATGCCTATTTTGGATCAAAAGGTTTTATTTCCGATATTTCGTGTGGCAACTCGCCAAACTTCTTCGGGGAACAAGATTGTTTTGATAAGCTCGCGTATCAATTCACGCGTATGTACAACTGCTATAAAATTTTAAATATCTAATATCTACAATATGCATGTTTATAAATATAATTAATAAATATAAAATATTAATATATAGAGAATAAATAAATATATACATGTATTTATGTATATATTTATTTATTCTCTATATATTAATATTTTATATTTATTAATTATATTTATAAACATGCATATTGTAGATATTAGATATTTAAAATTTTATAGCAGTTGTACATACGCGTGAATTGATACGCGAGCTTATCAAAACAATCTTGTTCCCCGAAGAAGTTTGGCGAGTTGCCACACGAAATATCGGAAATAAAACCTTTTGATCCAAAATAGGCATTTTTAAATAATATAATAAATGGATTGCTCTATTTTCAAACATATATATATATATATAATTTGGGTGGTGAAATATAGAGGACCTCTTCATTATAATATTGTAATTTATTTACATGTACAGTATCGCTATCATTACCTGTAATCCTATTGGGTCTATTTATACGTACGACATTATCAGAAATTATTTCCGTAATTTTATATGGACCTGTAAAGTAGGGTACTAACTTACCGCTATTTGGATGATGATACGCCTTTACTAATACTAAATCTCCTGTATCAAAGTGTGGGTTCTTATGTTTGTTATCATATTTAATTTTTTCTTTGTCGTGCCTGTCATTTGTACGTTGTATTGCTAGTTTTCTACTTTCTATTATATTGGGGTAGGGGTTAATGTGGTTATTTAAGTCTGAGGGGATTATATTATACATTAAAAATACGGGGGGGAAATCCAGTTATCGTATGGGGGGTATCGTTATATTTATTAGTTACTATCTTAATTAACTTAGTCCAGGAGGTTCCTGGATTCTCTAAGTTCAGTAACCTCAGCTTCCCGGTGAGTGTCGCGTTAAGACGCTCGCATAATCCGTTAGCTTGAGGGTTATTTGCAGTGGTTAGTAGAAAAAATATTTGAATAATTCTTAATAATATTCATAAAAGTTAAAGGGATATCATTCCTTACACATAAATTACAAGAATCATTAAAAAATTTACATTGATGTTCAGAGGGATATAGTGGGGATAATAAATATAAATGGGGAAAATGAGCTAAAGTTTGGCTGGGTGCATTTTTGTCACAATTGGTAGAGGTCCATGAGAGTTTATTTTGCCTGACTGTATGGCAGAGAGGCCAGATTCAGTTCGTTGTAGAGGGAGAGGGGCTCACCTTTGAGTAGCGTGCGGAGCCGGGCTTGCAGGGTGGCGTCATCTTGCGGTCCCTCGCTCGTCCGCTCGAGTTGCTGGATGAAGTTGCTTGCTGAGTAGGATCCGTCGAAAGGAGAGATGAGGGCTTCCTCCGCACGAGGCACGGCTATTCCCCGAATGGCGTCTGTTAGGCGGCTTACTAGGTCTTCGCAGTGGGGTTGCATGTTGGTGAGGGCATCCGCGAAGTAGTCGCCTCTGACCTCCGTCATCCTCTGCATGCTGCTGTCCTCAGTTATCCTGTCGACTTAAACGGGTTCTGTAGTAACCCCGACCAAGCCGACGTGGAATTTACTGGGCAGTCGTGGTCGTGGGTGCCTGATGGGATTCCCGCACGGGGACAGCAAGGGACAGAGGCAGGTCTAGATGGTAGCTCAAAGAGGTAGAGATAGACCACGGACGAAGGCAGTCGGACCACGGGCGCCGCGGATGCCCTAAGCCTACTCGCGGATAGAAGAAGGGGTGAGAGATCCGACAGACCGTATAACGGCGTCACTCTGAAAACAACTCTTTTGTCTCATTTTCTGGGCCCTTTTAAACTGGACCCCCGCATATGGCGGTGAGTCCTGATTGGCTCCTGTAATCACGCCACCTTCTGGCGCCGTTGGTCGTTGTCGCCGTCTGGTCTACCTTTGCCTCTTTGTTTATTTGTTACATTCCTTTCCACAAGGTCGATACATATTTTTATATAGATATGGGGTTATAATAAAACCAGAAGAAGGTTGTGAACTATCTAACTCAAAATATACTACATATATATGTTTGTAGGTTATACAAATCCTCAATAAGGACACATAATCTGGCTGAAATTTTAACAGTAGTTAGAAAAAATTCTGGAAGAGTATATTGTCGCATTTTTAGCCAAGGAAAATTGACCAAGTTATTCTATTATATATAGAAAATTTATAATACAATATAATGTGGCTTATGATTGTAGAACGACATTTTAAAATTATCCCGCATGTGTTTCTTTTGAACGAAAAATCGAAATTTATTTAAAGGAGAAATAACGATTATTTCTAACCTTAGGAATGAAGTATGAAAGGATGAATTGTGAAGAGTAATGATAAACGGAAAAATAAAGTGTCCAGGGATTAGAATCGAACCCACAGTTTTCCGCTTCCCGGGCAGATGCCATGTCCACTAGGCTACCCTGGACATATTTCTCCGTTCGTAAATATTATATAAAGCAATTTATGATAAAATATAATGCGGATTATGATTGTAGAACGACATTTGAAAATTATCCCGCATGTGTTTCTTTTGAACGAAATCATAAGCCGCATTATATTGTATTATAAATTACTTTATATAATATTTACGAACGGAGAAATATGTCCAGGGTAGCCTAGTGTACATGGCATCTGCCCGGTAAGTAGAAAACTGTGGGTTCGATTCCCATCCCTGGACACTTTATTTTTTCTGTTTATCATTACTCTTCACCATTCATCCTTTAATACTTCATCCCTAAGGTTAGAAATAATCGTTATCTCTCAAAATAATTTTTTATTTTTCATTCAAAAGAAACACATGCGGGATAATTTTCAAATGTCGTTTTACATATATAGAAAATATTAAAAATGGCATATCCTGACCAGGAGCACATGTGCTTTACAGAAGGCAGAGCGCCATCTGGTGGAACAGAACTCAACTAAACATTGATTTAGCCTGTTCCCTGATATTTGGCCAACCCAATTTCTTGATAAATCAAGAAAAGCCATCCACGAACGCGTTTCGCGCTTTTGGCGCTCGTCAGCGTGGAGTAGGCTGAACCACTGCGACCAAAAAATATGTTTTGGTCCCAATGGCTTCCCGAAAAACCAAGAAATGGGTATTTAAGGCCAACCTTGCGTAAATACGCTTAGCACATTAAAAAACGAAAGAAAAAAATAAAAGATAAAAAGATCAGGTGTTGAAATCAATATTAAAAAGGGCATATCCTGACCAGGAGCACATGTGCCTTACAGAAGGCAGAGCGCCATCTGGTGGAACAGAAATCAACTAAACATTGATTTAGCCTGTTCCCTGATATTTGGCCGACCCAATTTCTTGATAAATCAAGAAAAGCCATCCACGAACGCGTTTCGCGTTTTGGCGCTCGTCAGCGTGGAGTAGGCTGAACCACTGCGACCAAAAATATTTTTTGGTCAAATGGCTTCCCGAAAAACCAAGAAATGGGTATTTAAGGCCAAACTTGCGTAAATACGCTTAGCACATTAAAGGGACCATTGGGACCAAAAAATTTTATTTGGTCGCAGTGGTTCAGCCTACTCCACGCTGACGAGCACCAAAAGCGCGAAACGCGTTCGTGGATGGCTTTTCTTGATTTATCAAGAAATAGGGTTGGCCAAATATCAGGGAACAGGCTAAATCAATGTTTAGTTGATTTCTGTTCCACCAGATGGCGCTCTGCCTTCTGTAAAGCACATGTGCTCCTGGTCAGGATATGCCATTTTTAAGATTGATTTCAACACCTGATCTTTTTATCTTTTATTTTTTCTTTCGTTTTTTAAATATATAGAAATTAAGTGTATATATACATACATATATGTATGTATGTTTGTCGGTTATACAAGTCTTCAATAAGGACCCCTAATCTGACTGAAATTTTAACAGGATTTAGAAAAATTCTGGAAAATTTATTGAGGCATTTTTAGCCAAGAAAATTAAAATTAACCAAGTTATGGGCAAAAATGGTTGTTTTTTAGTCAGAAAATGATGATGAAAATATTGATGTATCAGGTTTGATTATTTGATGTATCAGGTTTGATTATTAGATACAAAATTATTTCGGGGAAAATTCCATAAAGCAGACCATGGGCGAAGCCATTTTTAGTAGGCAGGAACAAAATTTTAACAGCAAAACATCTCTCTATAAAAATATCGCTTTTCAGCCTTTTGGCTGAGATCAGTATATCTGTATCTATTAATAAATGTCAATATATATTTACATATATCTTTATTTAAAAAATCATCAGAAAATATCCACTCTACTGAATCAATTTTCATAAAGATATATAGATTTAAACATAGCTAAGTTAATAATCCTTATCAAAGCTTGTACCATATTAATCTGCCATCTCCATATACTCCATGTAATTGATTATAACTTTTTAATAATATAACTTAAATCTTTATTATTTTTGTACCATAGGACAGGCCATAGTTAAATTTGTAAAAACCCATATAAATTATAACACTATTGATTATATTTATCTACTCTATTGCTCTAAAATATCACAATAATATGCGTTATGTAAGTAATAATGTATGACGTCATCCCAGTCGTGTTAGAATGGCGCCAGTTTGCCACCGGGCCGCAGGGGAGGGGAGGATGACTCAAATAAGTCACTGACCAATTAGAATCAATCCCCGGGGATCCGGGCAAGACAAAAGGGATGGTTTGCCGGACGAAGGACAGTTAGTTCACAGTTAGAATTTCTGACAGGCACGCTCAGTATTAGGTCCGTTGTCATCTCACCGGCCCCATCTTGGCGTCCCCTGCCCTTGCCCGACATCGGACCTTCCTCTGGTAGTCCTCGACTTCCCCCCCCCCCCCCCCCCCCCCCCCGGTCCTGGTGCCAACTGAGATGTCCTGGGAGAGAGCCTTTTGATCTCAAACTTTGTCCTTACTACCCTGTGCGGGCTTCCCACTCTGCACGCCTTGCCACTCAACCCTGACTGCTTCCAACTTACTTGTCGGCTCACCCGGGTTTACGACATATATATATATGGTATTCATAAAGATCGAATCAGCAGAGAGAGGATATTTTCTCGGAAAATATTTTAATCGTTATTCGTTAGGCTAACTTTCACTCGAGTAAAATCCGGGCAAAGCCGGATACATCCGTATGTTAAATATATGTGAAAAATGAATATGAATCAGATTACTGAATTATAACAGATACATTATTATATTTATTGAATATCAGCAGCTTTTTGCTTGTAAATCCAAGGAGATTTTAGATAAGAACCTCAATATTCAGATTTATAACTCTTTTGGAGTCTTGAACAATCTCTGAAAAAATCAATTCGCAACTTCCAACAGTTTCCGACTTGACTTCATGTGCCACATATAAGATTTAAAAATAAATATAGAAACTTATTCATCCCCCCGGCCATTTCGTTCACCCAGAAGTCTGAAAATGTGTACACTTGCAATGTTCATTGGACTGAGTAAGTGTTAAAAGTTTCATACTTCTATATGATCTGGAAACATTAAAATTAAATTTAAAATTTTGAATGGCAATTTTGGAATTTGTCCGTTCCTGGCCATTCTGACAACCCCGAAGTCTGAAAATTTGCCAACTTGCATTGTCATCAGGTTCTAACAAGTGTACAAAATTCCAGATTCCTACGTGCTCTGGTTGTATGTTACAAATCAATTACAACAACAACAACAAAAGCCTTTATTTAGGGCGTTCCGCCCCATACAGGATTCGCCGTATTTACACGTCAACAAGAGGAGAGGGAAGAGGAAACATTTACAACAAAATAAGGTTTGTTACCTATTTACAGATGGTTCATCCTCCAGTATCCTTTGCCCTGCATTCTTTCTAATGCGCCCAGCTTCTGTACAGAACTTAAAGTATTTATCAATCATTAATTTATCATTCAGAGCTGAAGAGAGAAGTTGACATATGCCCTGGTATCTAAATTGACCAGAGGTAGGGCTTGGGAAAGTTTCAGTACGTTTTTCTGTTAAGAGAGGGCATTGGAAGAAATAGTGAACCAAATTATCATCCATGAGATCCTTACAAAGTAAACAGTTCCGGCCATTTTCTTTCCAGAAGTCTTTTCTTTCTTCCCTGAAAAATTGCCATAAAACTCTATGTTGTGCAACTAGTCTTTTGTTGGGAAGCGAGATATTTAATCGTAGGTACTCCTCTGTCATGAATGATTCACTCAAAAATTTGTAGTGAGCAAAGTGGGTTGAATCAGTGATTTTCATCTGATCGTTTTGAATTAGTTGGTCTGTGGTAGTTCTAATTATGCCTGGCAATTCTTTCTGTATGGCTAAGTAGTCTTCAATTACAATATTTGTGGACAGACATGGAAGTAAGTTAATAAATGCTTAAAATATAAAATAATTTGCGAGGCAGTGGTGGGTTATGAGGCAAGTGATATGGACGCACAAAGGAAACGGGATCTGTAGAGTACAAAATAATCATTTTTTTCAATGTGTATTACATGTGTACTGATACTAAGTTAGAGTGTTCAGATTACAAAAAAGAAATTGTAGACAATGTATGCATCCCTGAGACAGAATCTACTAGAATCTGTAATTGCTCCTCATTCCATATTGCATATCGCATGCTATTCTTTTGTAATTAAAAATTATTCAGTTGCCCCTCATATTGGTGGTCTATATGAAACAGGAGTCAAAGCGCTCAAATACCATCTGCGGCGCATTGTAAGAAGCACCCCACTGAGCTATGAAAAACTACTGACAGTGATAGTACAGATTGAATCATACTTGAAATCACGGCCATTATATTCTATGAGCGGGGATCCAAATGACCAACAAGCCCTGTCTACGGGACATTTTTTATTACTACTTCTCCTTCTTGTATTCGAGGAGAAAATTTGTTGACTAAAATGGAGCATCTTCTTTCAAGATGGAAACTAGTCCAGCGGTTGGTGCAGCATCAACGGTCTGCAACAACGGAATAAGTGGGAAAATGTAGCTCCAAATTTATGGAAGAACGCTTGGTGTTAGTCAAGGAAGACAGATTGTCTCCAGCCAAGTGGCTGATGGGCCGAGTGCTGGTGAGTCATCCTGGAAAGGACGGTCTTGTGCCCGTCCAGACTGCCAGTGGAGTGAGACTTCTGGTCAAGTTGGCGCTTCCCAGTGGCCCCACTGTATCTTGACAGTATCATGACTGGATCATCAACCCGGGAAGGATACTAGAACTTGGAAATATTCTCAATCTTTTCTTTATATATATAAATATTTAAAATATATTATAAAATGTATGCTTGAAAATCATATATAATAATTTTGTTTTTATAAATATTGTTACGTAGAAAGAAATGCACATTCCAGAATGGAGAGAGAATGTTCTAGAACGTTCAAGAATAATGTAGAAAAAGCGGAAGACAACTGATTGGCCAATTTAAAGCGATTGCGCAAGACTTGGTTCTGGCGGCTTTCTGAT